GTAGGTACCTGCCTCGGGCTCCTCCTCGCTCCCCCCTTCCGCTCCCGTGCTCTCCTCTCGCTGCTCTTTAGGGAGGCAAGGGTTAAACTTTAGTTTTTAATATTTATTACGCCGTTCTTTTAAAGTAAGAAACATCTGGGCTGCGGGGCGTTTTCTGCTGCTGGGGAGGGGCGCCGGGCGCCCGCAGGGGCTGCCAGCAGCCGCGAGAAACTTGGTCCTGCGAGGAAGGTGGCTCCCAGGGCAGCCTGGAAATGCACGGTTGCGTGGAGCTTTACTGAGAGCTTCCTTACGAAGTTACTGTGTTCTTGCACTGCGGATGTTTTCCATTAAATAAAATTGCCTTGTTTTGTTTCAGTATTTGTTTTCAAACCAGGGCACGTAATTTACTGTGTCTTAGAGTCCTCAAGACTGCAAAAAGTTCCTGGTAGGCTGTGGCCTCCGAATCCTTTCCTGTGTAAGTAGGTAGGGGGTGCTAAGCATATTGCGATCACTAGTTAGATGAAGGAAATTATTTCCCTTGTGGGGCAAGCTGTTTTTTATAAATTTCTGGAATTAATTAGAATGAAGTGTTAAAAAAGAATGAAGGGGGAAAAAAAAAAATCCCCCTCCTTGAAAAGCTTTTTGTCTCGCATTTCTGTTGACAGGTTGTTAGGTTGCTTTCCAGACACTTTTTTTTTTTTTTTTAATTGCAAGTGCTTAGTGTCTTGCATTGGAAGACAACAGCTACGGACTGAATTCATTGCTCATCCAAGACACGTTCTTGTAACTAGAGTTTGGATTACTGCCCGAGCCTGGGCTTTGGAAGATTGTTTTAAATAAGTGCCACGCCTCCTAGAGAAGGAGGGAAAGCACTGTAAAGGGGAGTTGGGCTCCACAGCAGAAGTTCTCAAGGAGCATAAAACTTGAGTTCCTACAAAGTATATTTGATAAATTAGTAGATTTAAAGGCTTATGGAACCAGACGTACTTGTTAATATGTGGTGTATAGGGGAAATCATTTGCACGGTCTGTAGATTCACATCTTTCTGACATTGAGTGCTGTCGAACTTAGCAAATACCAGTCACTTGCATTCATTTTTTTGCTTTTCGGCTTAACCTCATCACGGCGTGACCATCGGTATCGGATTTTGTCAGCGATGCTGAACTCGGTTCTTCTTGTTGTTAGGCAGGATCCTTGCTTTCTAAGAAACTACCGCAGACAGGTGGTTTTTAGTAATTCCTGAAAAATTCTCCTCTGAGAAAGATGAATTGCATTTTATCACAGCCGTTCCTATTTAGAAGTCAGTGTCTCGGTTAGGCCTCTTATTAGTTTTGGAGTGTGGTGTATGTGAGTCAGAGTGGAAAAACGTTCTAAAATTAGATGTGCATTGTTAAGAATTTTATTAAATGAGTTGCATCAGTGTCTTTTTACATTACCATTTTAATGGGCAATTCTCTGTATTCTCAGTATCGTTAGTTGACTAAAAAAGGGCTCAAGAGACAAGAAACTTTTCAACGTTTTTATGTCTGCGAACGTACTAAAAGGTAAACTGGCATGTTTGTAGGTAAACCAGTCTGCTTAAATACAGCCTCTTTGTTCTTCTGTTACCTGTACTAACAGAACACCGGGCTTGTGTTTTCCCCCAAGGAGAACAGGTGTATTATGGAGTTTCGGCTTCTTACATCAGAACTGAAGCGGAGCCATTATTTGAAAAGCATCTTATTTTTGAGATTAATATGTTAATGGCTAAAATTATGACCCTGCACTGAGCTGAGTACAAACAGATGTCTCTGCTGAGTGTGTTGCAGGATCAGGGCCCAGGTTGCCCTTTGGAAATCGGCCTCAGTGCTCTGGGAACTATTATTTCTTTCATTACCTCTGTGTTAAATGAGGTCGGTAAGCGTGTTAGATTCTTTTTTTAATGAAAACCTTATGCAGCATATCTGGAAAAGAAATTTCATTCTCTGATTCGCCTGGCATAGTTATAGTTTTAAATGTTGGAAGTTAGGAAGAGGAGTCATTCCTTTGTAGTCTTGGAGAAATAGGTCGTGTGAGATGTGCCCACCTGTCTTAACAAGTAAAGGATGATGCTGAGTGCTGCTTCTTTTTAACTTGCTCTATGTGGAAAACCTGTTGTGTTGCAGGTCCTAGGATTTTCTAATGTTCCCAAATTTTTTTTTTTTTTTTTTTTTTTTTTTTTTAAATTAGACTGATCAGCAGAGAAACTGATACCGTTGCTTGGGGGTGGGAAAGGCCAGCAGTCTGGGTGAGAGAACCATGTCTGTTCGGGAGTCGTTTAACCCAGAAAGTTACGAACTGGATGAGAGCTTCCGCCTGACCCAATTCACTGAACTGAAAGGCACAGGCTGCAAAGTGCCTCAGGATGTCTTACAGAAGCTGCTCGAATCTCTACAAGAAAACCATTTTCAGGAAGATGAACAGTTCCTGGGGGCAGTTATGCCCAGGTTGGGTAAGTAGTTGCTCCTCTAGACACATGTGATCCTTCCGTTTGGTCTGCTTAGTGACGCGAGCTCATTTGCGGTTTGTTTAATCAGTTTGAAAATTGTATGTTGTATAATGCATGCACAGCATCCAGAAATCTGAAGAATGAATTTCGTGTTGTCATTTGTTGGCATCTAGGATACAAGAATATTATTTTAATTATTTAACATCCTGCAGTGCGCTCAACTACAAAGGAAAAACGGTCAGGAATGTCTATCGTGATAGGCACGTGCCTAGGAGTTACTGTCCTCCTCCATTTCCCCAGTAGATGCTCTGCAAACTGACGTAGTATCAGTTAATTTCTGGACTTTTATCTTAATACATTGCCTTTGGAAATTTATGCAATGGATGCAATGAATTTTATGCAATTAGATGACTCACGGGTGAAGTTCCCCACTCCCTCCGCCCCCCTCTGTTCCTGGGTCAGAGAACGTGAGCAAGGGAAAACTTTCTCGCTTCAGCTGAGGCTGGGAGCAGATTGTTTCACAGTTGTCATTTTTCCTTTCAATCCTTTCATTGTTCCCCACTCTAACTTTTTTGCTCACCTGTAGAAGCTGCCTGGGAAAGGCTGTCTTTCCAAGACCTCTGTGTTCTTGCCAGCTTCACTTTCTCTTTGGTATTTGCACAATGATGCAAGCAATAAGGGAAAACAGCCTGCACAAGCCACCTACATGGGGAACAGGGCGAACGTAGGTATTTTGATACCAGCTACTCTACGTAATATTGATATAGATAAATGAATGTACATAATGTGTTTAATGACACTTCTAATTCTGTTTGTCTATTTACTCAGCCCTGCGTATTCAGTCTCTACTTTGCAGCACAGAATGATTTTTTTTTTTTCCTCAACTTAGGAATATCACTGTAGTATTTATTCTGAAGTTATTTAATTATCAATTTAGTGTCCAGTAACCTTATTTAAAATTACTTTAACATTGCTAATTGTCTATTAGCAGGCTAACAGGTTGCAACCCATTATTCTGGTAGGGATTGAATTCAGAGAGAGATTAGTAAAGAGCCCATGTTCTTGCTTAAACAATGGCGATCTTTGTATGAAGTATCTAAGCAGCAATTGTGTGTGGAGCTGGGGTGGCACTATAATTTAATATTCCCTAATGAAGGACCCTTCCAGCTTCTTTTATCCCCAAATTGCTATTTATATGTGTGTTTTTCTAAATTAAATAAGTTATTCACAACAGCATTTCAATTTGGCAAATTTCTAAAATTAGTAATGGCTTGTCTTAGATTTAATTATCTAGCTGTTGGGTTTTTCTTTTTCCTCTTATAAACTTACAGGCCCCAAACAGTGAGGGAACTGCTAATAGATTTTTCTTCTCCAGCTATATGAAAAGGTAAAAAAAAGTAAACTAGTGCCATCAATATGTAGGTGTGATATTATATAACAGGAAATCTGTTAGTAATGGAAGGTGGAGAGTTCAGGTCTTTTAAAAATAATGGTTTTGTGGCGAGTATCCCTTTAACAAATACGTCCTCAGATAAGTTTGCCGTTGTTTGCCTCTGATACCTTGTGCTTGAAAGAGATAGACAGGTAACTTTACAACCTGTGCGTATGCACCATGCTTTTGAGATGCAGTCGAGAGGGAAATTGCCAATAGCAGGCTCACCCTCACTCCTTTTTAGTTCTGCAAGTGGTGTTACCCAGAGCAATCTTAAATATGTGAGTAAGAAACTGCAAGTTTGATATTCATTCTCAGAGCTGTTATGGACATTGAAATCACTGTTTTCAGTCACCTCTCTAAACAGATTCGCTTACTTAGTCCTTTTTTGGTGAAACAGAAACATAGCCTCAGAAGGACTGTCACGGCTCCTTGGCTTGTCTGCCAAGCAGTACTTTCGATGAAGCTGTGGAAAACCACACAAGTGAAATCAGTCTTGTAGCATTATGGCATGAATAGGTGAACTGAGGGCAAAGCAGCTCCTATACATGAGCCACTTCTTTGTAACTGCTTATATGCACTTCCCTGGAGACACTGGATATCATGCATAGTAGCTTGGTAGCTCCTGTGGAGGATGAGCAACCCTAAATTACTGCTCATGAGCTTCTGTCAGTATCCCTTCTCTTCCGAGGCACAATCTGCCTCCGTAGGCAGGAGGGGCAAGATCCTTTCCACCGGTATACCTGCTGCCTGGCAGACCTTCTGCTCTCTGTCCTCAGTAGGACCTCAGATGACAGCAGCTTGCTCCATCCCTGTACAGACACTGCCAAATACTGGCTTGTAGCACTTGCTAGGTAGTGTGTTTTGTTAATACATGGGGAAAAGTTGCTGTGTGGCATCTGCTCCCTGAAAATGGGTTGTTTGAAGACTCTTGCCCTGTGGAGGTATGCAAAATAATTCTAGGCAGCTTGCTGCCAGCCCAGGAGGGAGCTAAGCTACGTGCCGTTGCCACAAGGCACGACGATATTGACAGGGAGCGTGGCTCAGCTAGTATGTTGTGATTTGTCACCTGCTGCTTCTGTGCAGGCTCTTGCATCGCAGCAAATGCCCGGAGGTTTGAATATCGCTTACTTTGAAATATTCACCGTCAGGGAAAAGGCTGCGCTTGGTGTTGTGGTTTTTCTCAAAGGAGTTTCCCTGTCTAGCAGATTGTCTTGCCACCTTTCAGCCTCACAGAAGTAAGGCAAGGTTAACACAGTTGCAGAAGCTCCAAGTGCTCATCTTTCACCAAGGGCCCAGGCGGTGACTTGGGCCATTCTTTGTGTTCCTCCTGAAGTGAGGAAATGCCCTTTATGAGAAGCTATGTCCTTTTAAAACTGTCACTATGTTTTTGTTAAGATTGGAGTGACAGGAAAACCTATTTGCTTTCAACAGTATCAATTTACGTAGTTCCTCTTAACTTTAAATGTACATACATACAAGCACAGATGTTCTTAATGCACTATTATGCTGAAAAAAAATGTAGAACATTGTAGTTTAGTTCTTACTTTCAGCCATTTACACTTCTGTTCTGTTCCAGTCAGGAGTTCTCATTCTTTGCTTGGTTTTCCTCTTATTTGTGCTATGTGCTTTCTCTAAGGAAGGAATTTGCCATGTCTGTTTAGGCAGTATTGCGAGTTGTGTTTCACAGACGTGTTTTATAAGTTCTCTTGTTAAAAGCAACAGATAATTGAAGGCAAAGTTACTTCACTGATGGATTTTGGTCTTTGCAGGAATTGGGATGGACACTTGCGTTATTCCATTAAGACACGGAGGTTTGTCGTTGGTCCAGACGACAGATTATATTTATCCTATTGTGGATGATCCTTATATGATGGTAAGTTGGCTCAATTTAATTGTTAGCTATATTGCTGATTTGATTTGTACTTCTCACTTACCAGTCTGATGGCAATTTTGACCGTTTCTTCTAGATGTGCAGTGCTAATAGTTTGATTAACTGCATTCAGCATCTTTCCTAAATACATGCAAAGATGGAAAGGCATAGTTTCATCCTGTAATCTTTTCCATGTCAGCGAGGAATGCTGCAGTGCTGCTTTCTGTAGGTGAAAGTTGGGAGAACTGCCACCTTTAATTCAAATTTCCCTCCATCTGTTGTTCTGTGGGATTTGGCTTGAAAAGCCTAAAAGGGGGGAAGAGTAGCTGTTGTGAAGTAGCAGACAGTAAACTCCACTTAACGAGCAGAACCACATTGTAATTGGCCTTTTTTGAGGTTCTGAAATAACCAGGTAACATGTTAGAACTGGAAATGCCTAAATGACAGTAGTTGGCAATAGCACCTGGCAACTTCAGAGTGCTTTGTCAACACCAGTTTTCCTGTTGTACTACCTTTGCTTGCAGATGGGTAAGTTGAAATGACTTGTTGGAAGTTGCGTGCGCTTTGACTTCAGTTCCTTCTTGTGTCTGTATTTCATTTAGTCCATCTCAGATTCCTTTGTGATGTTATGTGTGGTGGTGATCAGTGTTGACTTGAACAGAAGGTCACAGGGAAAAAAAATGAACTTTAAAAAAGGACTTAGTAAAGCTGTAAGGAATTCTACAGGAGGTGTTCATTAAATGAATATTAAAAAATGCTAGAATTCATGTTTCCTGTGATTTAAATGTGACTCCTTTTGCTTTAAGGCATGCTTTTACTGCTGTTTGTATGATTGCATGCTTTATTAGCTGGTTTTGGTTCATTGTTAGTTCTGTGAGACCTGTCAGGTAGGTTTTGGACATGCAGTTTGAGATTGGGACCGACTCATTCTTTCTTAGCATGCTTGACCAGGTGGTGTGCACATATGCAAGCCTGGCTTCTTTGATTTCTGTTCCAGAAGAGCTCTCTTTCTGCAAACTGAGCAGCCAAGATCTCAGGCTGGCCTCTGATTCAAGTTTGATTTCAGTTTGATTCAAGTGGCCTGCTTTAACATCATGTGGGAACTTGTCAGGGACCGGGATTGAAAAAAAAAAAAAAAAACCCAACAAAAAACCCCCTATGTTGTTGGATGGCTGTGTTCAACTTCGTCAGCTGAGGAACTCTCTTTTCTCACCTTGTAACAAAAACTTGTGAGGGACAGTGTGAGAAGCCTGTGGTGAAGGAGGAGATACAAAGGGTTTGAGATGCTGCAGGAGTGGATAGATGAGCCTGTGCCCAGATGAGGTTTAGGCCAGTGTGGTAGCAGTGGAATGTAAATTTGGCCATAGTCCAGCTCTAGTGGTTGCATCATAGTTACAGTCTATACTGTGATCCACATGCACCAGCAGCTGTAACTTTGGTGTTCTCTAACTCCCAAGTCCTTCACTTTCCATTCTTGTCAACATTCATTTTAATGTGGTGGCTTGCCACCTCCTAATTTGTTTACAGATGTATATTTTATATTAAAAGCTAACTGAGAATAGGGACTCTGTCACAAGCCTTCTTGACGATACCTGCAGTGAAGATCCAGCAGGGTTGGAGCTGCTGGATCCTCTATTCGCATCTCTCTCTGGGACTGGAGTACCTGGGGGCAGTATAGATTGCCATTTTCCTGTGTGGACCAACATCAGTTGGAGGACAGTCAAATGCAATTTGCCACAGGGTTTATGGACAGTCGTTAAGAGCAGAGGAATGGTGAGTCTTAGGAATTTTGTGTCCAGGCTGTATAAAGGAGTGTGCTCTTGACTCCTCTGTTCAAGACAGACTGCTGCTGCCCTGTTTCTCCGGCTGTTTTTTCCCTGTTTTTAGTCTAGACTCCCCCTGACCCATGCCTGTTACTAGTCTCTGTTCTCGTTATCACTTACACGCAGTACACGCTTTGCTTCTTGCTCTTTTGCTTTATCTCCTTACCTAGTCAATTCTAGCCTGTTGTTGGCTGGATGTTCCCCGATTTAGAGTCTCTTTGTTTCTCTGTGCACAGTGTCTACCTGCAGCTCCTTATCTGATGTCTCTTCCTAGTTGGGGCGAGAGGAAGCAAGGAGGGAAAGCCAAAAGTGCAAATGGACTCCAAGCTGATGCTGTCACAGAAGGGATTAGAAAACAGCTGAGGAAGGCAAAACTGCATGTGGACTCAGCTGAACTGATCTTTGCTTCAGAAAACAGCTTTCTCTCACTCTTTCACTGCCTATTTTAAAACAAAGTTCTGCAGTTATATGCAAAAACCCTCTTCCTTCTTTTCCCTCCTCTTTGGCTTTGTTCTTGAAAACACTCAATCCGTGTTGTCTGAAGTATCCCTAGGATGTAAAATCTGTATCCAGCATAGGGCTTTTCAACTTAAATGGTTTGATATTGGAGAAGTTACAAGCTATTGAAGATAGGTTTCACATTGTAGGTACCTATCGTAGGTACCAAGCTACCGGTGATAGGACTGGTACTGGTCTCTGTTGTGGTGCTGCGGAGACACCTTTTTGAATATAGGAGCTGGAAACTGGCTTGAGAGTGGACTTCCTTCCCCCTCCCTTCCAGGGACCTTTTTTGTGCCCTTTTAAGAAGAACCTTCACTCAGTACTGGGGATGGGGGTCTGATACTCCATTCTTGCCCTTATAAATAGTTTTTAGTATTGCATGTGGATTGCGTTTCAGGGAGACTAAGAAAGTTGGGTAGCATGTGGGACCCAGCTAGGTAGACCCCTGTTTGTGAATCCTGTCGTGTTTATCTCTGTTGACGAGCCATGTATCATTCCCTTTGCTGCTTCAGACTTGAGACTTGCACTCCATGAATTTGTTTCCGTAGTGGTTTTGCCAGTTGGCAAAAGCGGTGTTAGACTGACCTCTAGACTACTAGAATAGAGAGCTGTTGTCAGTGTGGTTTTAAAAACTTATCTGTCATTCCTAAGAGGGCATAAACCAACAGTTTGCTTGGTAAATACTGAAGATAGTGGAGAATGGTTTGATAGTCCCCTTCCAGAAAAGGAAAATGGCAGGCTTTAGTGTTCCTAAACATCTAGAAATTTAACAGCCAGTATCCATCAAACCATGCCATACACAGCTCACTCGTCTCTTAATAGTTTAACATCTAAATGATTAAAACATATTCCAGTTCTAAATATAAGGGATTCCCCTGATGCCACTGGAAGCTCTTGAATTTATGAAAAACTGGATTATATTTAATTGTGATTTGGAGGTGTTATATCATCAGCAAGTAAGGTAACTGCCTGAAAATACTAATTTTTGCAAAGATCCTGGATGTGTGATTAGACGGTAAGGTTTTAGAGATGGGGAAATGTGTTTAGATTCCTTCTGTCTTCGCCCCCCCCATTTGTCTTCCAGCTAAAGCGTCTTCCTGTAGTCCAAATTGTGTCAAATAAGCATGTTGTTGTTTTTGTCATGGTGGTGTTGCCTCTGAACTTTATGAAAAGCACAGATTTACAATCATAAAAACAGATGTTGGTTACAGTTGTGCAGCTGTAAACCTAAACCAAATTTAATAAAATGCATGGAGTATTCCAGAGTAACACAACAGAACTTGTCCTGTATTTTAAAATTATTTTGCCATCCCTTAGGGCACATCCTATATCAAAGTTCTGCATCTTCATCGGGAAACTCAATGTCTCATCTGTGCTGGCTCCACATCCCAACAAACCCTCACTCAGATCCATTGATCTAGCGAAACTAGAGTAGCTAAGCTCATGTGACCCAAGTGATCCCTTCTCAGTCCTGTCAGCTTCAAGACTTGTTAGAGGAATCTTCAACAGAAGACTGGGTCTCTTGGAAAAATTTTTGTTAGTGGAGATGTTCACATGCACAAAAGTCAATTAAAGTGCATGCGCTGTAGCAAAACTCAGCCTTATCTTGTCATTTGAACAAGTGATAGAGTAGGCACGTCTCCCTCACCCTACAAGTGGTGGGGGACAGACATCTCTCGGTAGCTGTGTGTGCTCCTAAGCAGTGACAGGGCCAGCTTCTGGGAGCCCTGAGCTCCTTAATCCCTGGCACGTGCTGTCTTCTGCAGACAGCTTCTTACTGATTTCCTGACAGAAGAAGCACCCCAGCATGGCTGTGTCCTGGCAGCACAACTGTATCCTCCGGGAAGAAGAGTACTCTCCTGAAAACTTAGGAGTGTAGACATGGCCTCCAGGGTAGTGCAGAGGAACAAACAGCTTTCTCATCAAGGTCCCTGTCTCCTACATATTCTGATGCAGAAGAGGTACGGCAATATATGCTTTTGGAATTAGCTTCCTAGCAATTGTGAATTACATACAATGGTCATCTTCATCAGTGTGTACAGTTTTGTGCTGGAATAAAGTAATTAGGAACATATCAGATTAAGTAAACTGAACTTGTTATCAGAGCTAGACTTTGTTGAGTTTAACTTCAGCCTCTAAAATTAGGCATCCAGTCTAAACTCGGTGTGTGATTTCTATGTAGTCAGTGAGAGAGCATGTTGACCAAGACAGCTGGGATGAATTCTCTCCTTACTATAAAGGGAATGGATATCTGCACTTCTAGATGGACACATTGCATGAAATGGATCATACCACATCTTTGGCTGGGTTTCTTAATGCAGGAGCCGTAGAAGGAGCATCTGTCTCAGAGTGCGAACTCATGCTGGAAGTTTTGCTCACGGCAGGTGTTTGTCTGAACATTCACAAACAGTCCTGCAGATTTTTTTGTCTGTCTTTTTCAGGGACGGATAGCGTGTGCCAATGTCCTAAGTGACCTTTATGCCATGGGGGTCACAGAATGCGACAACATGTTGATGCTCCTTGGAATCAGCAATAAAATGACAGATAGGGTAAGATTTTGGTATTTGCTTTTGAAGGAAGACCTAAACAGCTAAGCATGCTTAGAATGTATTTACCTTTAGTGTATTTTCTCCCCAAAGTCTGAACCCTTTTAGAGAAGAGATGGTTTTATTGAATGTCTCAGTTCATAGTATGGGTCTTGCCTCAGACATTCTGAGGTCACTTGCTAAAAGTTCAGTTTTCTGTGGCATTGTAATCTTCTGTTGCTAATACCTTCATCCCCACCATAATGGGGTCCCTGCTTCTGTCAGTTCAGGACGATGTTGCTCCAAGGCAGCATTTGGTTACCAATTCATGTATCAATCTGGATAGGTACTTCTGGTTTGCTTATTGCCAGCTTTGTAACATCTCTCAGAAGCACTTCCCCTGTGGAAGTGACCAGCATGTATATTTGGTTTTGCTCTAGCAAAAAAGGGATATTAATTCTCGGAAGTAAGTTGAAACTTTGCAGGTTAGTGGAGGCCAAATGCAGCTTGATTTAACTTTGCCTTATTGCACTGCACTGCTGTGGCTGTACCCGATTACAACAGCAGGATAGTTGTTCTGTTTCCAGAACTCTGATTTCTTTACTTTTATATGACCTTTTGAAGAGTGTTTCTTCGGCGTAAGAATGTCTCTTCACCTCTTTTACAAAGAGTTGTAAAACCATAGCTCTATGGGATAACATGCAATTTTCAGGAGGCTAACTTCTTCCTAAGGCTGGCTTTTCTGTCGCGAACTATTTGCCATGAGGGCATTTGGCTTCAGTGATTAAAAGCCCTGGACCAGTCTTGAAATGACTAGCACTGCTGTGTATGGAACTCTGACTTCTGTTTTGATCTCTAGGAAAGAGACAAAGTGATGCCTCTAATTATCCAGGGTTTCAAAGATGCAGCAGAAGAGGCAGGAACATCTGTTACTGGTGGCCAAACAGTGTTAAATCCCTGGATTGTTTTAGGAGGAGTGGCCACGACAGTCTGTCAGCCTAATGAATTTATAATGTAAGTTAAATCGCTAAACAATCAAAGGCACTGGTCTGAAGGGATACAGTAAAAAATCCTTTAAATACCGTGTTGTGATCTTGTAATCTGTCTCCTGATGAATAAAGCAATAACCTTCTCCTGCTTGCATTTGTCCTTAGCGCTCAACAGATGCCACATCTCTTTTGTACATACTTGCTTTTTTAAACAGGATGTCCTTTTACTTCTCCCCACCCCCCAGTATCTTTTAATCCTATTCTCCTTTTGACAGGAGAGTTATGCTTCTAACCTTTAAAGGTATTGAAGACTGTTTTGGGACATAAATTTCTGTCATATTTATACATACATTTTAAACCATCTCCCAATTATCCTATTAATGGCTGTAGAGAACTACAGGATTGCTATGTTTACCGCATTCTGTCCATTTAATGGTGGCTGATTTTGAGTGTCCCGCTGTGGCATGTTACACTATACAAATTAATTTGTTTGTGATCCTAGTGATGGTTGTCTTATGCCCTGAAGTAACAAAAGGTCAATTTTTTTTCCCTATCCTATCTTACGTGTCTGGTAAATTGAAAGAAAAGATGTAATTTTGTGTGTGTCTGACTGCAAGCGTTGTTATATTCCAAGAAAGAAGGATTAACACTTTTAAACAAGTTTGCAGCTTTTTGCTCAATAATATCCCATGGCAATGAATCCCAAAGGGCAATTCTGCAATTAGTCCGTTTTTTAACTGTGTGACAAGAAACATGGGTCTGTGAAACTGTAATTATCAGCACTTATTCCTAATAACATGTGTGAATCTCACTATGTAATTAATATGTGAATTCTTTGTTTTCAGGCCAGACAATGCAGTGCCAGGAGACGTGCTTGTATTAACTAAACCCTTGGGAACACAAGTGGCTGTAGCTGTCCACCAGTGGCTGGATATTGTGAGTATGCTGCAAAAAAAGAAATAGGGAAGAGGGGGGTGAGTTAAAGGTGACCTTCCTCATTCCCTCAAAACCTCCAAATGACACAGTTCAGCAGTGTAATAAGTACACTGAGGGCTCAGTTGGGAATGATCTACCACCTCTCTCTCCTCCTTCCTCCTTGGTGTGTCAGCCTTACCTGCTTACGTGTAAAACTCTTTCAGAATTGAATCTGTTTACTGTTTAGTGCGTAGTGAGCCCATCTTAATTGCCTCTAATTCTTAGTTCTCAGGCATTGCTGTAATAAACAGAATTGTTAGCTAACAGAACAACAGACTAGCACCCTGGGTAAAATTATGCCCTACTCCACCTGCCAAAGTAATTGGCAAAAGCCAGTGATGGCAATTAGGCCAAGATTGCTGTCTGTGTTCATGGGCTTTCTGCTTGTGTACATGGAAATATATCTACGTTTCACATGTATTACCCTGTGCATTCAATAAGAATATTTCTAGCAGCATTATGTATGTAGACGTGCTTCCATCTGCTACTTCAGGCAAAAATGTAACTACTGAACTGAAAAGTGACTGCAAAATTGGCATCTGTTTATGTTGTCTGGCTCCCAGTACGTGTCTTCAGAATTATAACTGCTCAGTTTACACTTTAAAAAGATGCATCTTTTCTACTTTTGGGACTACTGAGCCAATAGACTGGCAGAGGAGTGAGCTGGAATCTACTTTGTCTTGGCTGTTGGCCACTACATTGTCAGATGAAGTCTAATTACAAAGCCTGTGTTAGCAAAAGTGGGAGAGCGCCAGCTTAAACCTTCATTGGAGTCTGAAGCGTGAGCAACAAGAAAAAAATATTTTTCTCCTTCTTCATAGGGCCTGGCCTAGCAATTCTGACCTGCAGAATCCTGCGTTTTCCAGTCAGATATAAGGATCAGGGCCTCAGATAATCTTGATATGAAAATGAAGTGAAACAGCAAGACACCAATTTTATAGTATGTTTTCTGGCCATAATCTTACTTCTTAACTATCTATTATTGTACTGACAAACAGACTTGCAAATTAAGGATATTCTGAATTTCCACATATTTCAAGTACTTCTAATTTCCTCGACTGTCAACCAGAAACACTTTCTGGTCTGAAAAATGAGGACAGCAAGGAAACCAATCCTCTTATTACGTGTAAACAGCATATATCTTTGATTGTGGTACAAAAATTTCTGAGTAGCTGTGCTGCCTTTTCTTCAGCTTTGTTTTGTGAAAGAGTAGAGAAAGTGAAACTAGAATTACCTATCACAAATCCACCCGTAAATCAAATTTCGGTAGGGAATTTGTCTTTGTATTGAAAAGTATGTGGGAGAAAGTACATAGGTACAGCAAGTTTATGCATAGGCAAGGAAGGAAAGTTGGACTGTAGAAATACATGGCTGCAAAACAAATTGGGGGGGGGCACACACCATAAACAACAAAAAAACCCCAGACCACCAACCTAAAAGCTGAGGTATTTAAACAGAGCAGTAGTGAATGAGTTCCTGGTGACAACTGAAAGGAAGATCCAAATGGAGGCAAAATTTGTCCTCCTTGCCTGGTTGCTGCCAGCATTGTTGCAGCCAAGCCCCAGCTGTGTTGCTGGCAGCAGCTGCCGTAGGGTGCAGAGGACGAGTCTGCAGGGAGCTGGGCCCCGAGATCAGGTCAGGGATGCGCTGGGGGCAATGAAGCTGTTTGCTGTGGCTTTGGCTGCCAGGCTGGTGATGCGGACTGATTAGGCTGGCCCACAGCTGGGAACTGGCATCCCTTTGCCTTTTCCTCTTTCAGCTGAAAAGCATGAAATGGGTTGCTGTGATGTGCCTCTTCAGAAAGGGTTTTCTAGCCCTTGTTGTCTACAGACCCTTCCCATTTGGAAATCTAAGCTTGCTTTTAAAAGTTGTTTGGGGATTTTTTTGAAGTTTTCTGCCTTTGTTTCCTCCCTACTAAGCTCAGTGTCTGCTATAGTGGAGAGGAATTTGCATCTATTTTGTATCCTAGTGTCTCTTCTAGCCTCAGCCTTGAGTTCTGCTTCCACCTCATTTGTTACTTCCATTCCCATCATCTGACTGATTTCCATCCCATGATCGGCTCGGAACCATGTTTTTGAAAACTAAGGCAGAATGACTGCTCAGGTTTTTCAGTCATACCCGCCGTAAGAGTAATCACTGTTCTGTCCCCGCTCTAATAGCCTCATTTATGTTTTTTTACTTGCTCTTTCTCTAACTTACTTGGTCAGACCCAGTTCAACCTAATTTTAGAAGCTCTGATCTTACTACTATACTTCCTTGCTCTTCAACAAATAATTTGTTTTGGCTGACCAGTCTCTTTTCCCCTCTTGCCACTTCTGGATTCTCTCTTGCACCCCTCGAAGTCAGCGCTCATTTGTTAAGGATAAGAGCCTCTTTGACAAGATCCTTCCCCAGTGCAGCATCATATACCAATTCTTAGTAGTTTTTGCATCTTTGGTTTAGTAAGATGTTTGTTCTATGCATTTATTCTGAGGAATGGCAGTGTAGACATTGTGGCGTCAAAAATCCTATCTTTATTTACTTTCAGTTCTCTGTAATTTTATTTCCATTGCAAAAAATGAAGAAAATTAAACCAGTTTGTAGTGTTGCTCTTCACAGCTAAGTGGTTGCTTTGTTTCATTCTGGATCTGGAATAACTTCAGCTTTGAATGAAACAATTGCCCTCTATAAAGGTACCATTTCCTAAATTGTGCTGAGAGCCTTCTGGGATGAAAAGCATTGCTTAGTGTGTGGTGGAGGCGTGAGTCCATACAAGACACTGGAGAATGGGTGGAGGGAGATGCTGGTATTAAACTGTAAAGGAAGCTTATGAAAATTCCTTCATCCTAACTCACTAGAGTGATTACATCCTGCCATAGCATACATTCCTCAGACCTGGACTTGTGGGTATCAGTGGCCCCTCTTGATGAAAGTGTCCAGATGTGAAATCAAGAGCTTTCTCTTAAAAACCCAAGAAGCCAGAGATTACAAATCTCAACATCCAGCAATAAAGTTCAGTTCATTTGGCTGTGGAGTTCAAGCCAGAGAATTGCCTTGAAGGAGTTCTTTGCCCTAGGGTAGGTTGTTCCATTCCATTCTGCTGCTGAAAGCAAGACTTGAGGTGCTTAGTGCCTAATAGATCTTTTAAATGAACTTCACTTAGGTACAGCCGAGTAGGGCATACACCTCTGACTGTTGAACCTTTTGCCCCTCTTTAACTGAGTTTAAAAAAAAAAAAAAGTAGTACATTTCAGAGGAAGGACTTTTTTTAGTAAGGGTGTGCTTTAAAATACACAGTTGAAAATCTAAAAGAATCATCTTTATTTCATCCATTAGCCAGAAAAGTGGAATAAAATCAAACTAGTGGTAACGCAAGAAGATGTAGAACTAGCATACCAGGAAGCAATGATGAATATGGCACGACTGAACAGAACAGGTAAGAAGTGATGCGTGTGTTGGGGGGGCAGAGGGGAGGTTGTGGGTTTTTCCAGTTCCATACTTAATTTCATTTCACTGCCATGGGGAAATGTGACACAGCTGCTTTATCCCTTCCTTCTGCCCCATCTTTGTGCTGCTCAGTGTTTGTGAAGCAAGCAAATTGGAAGCAAGCAAATTGAAATCAAACACCCCCTTTTAATTATACAGGAAAAACACAAATGCTGCTGGAGATGATTATGACTCATGTGAGTGCTGCGAGTAACATCCCAGTGAGTTAGAGGATGTTTTAAAGGGAAATATATTGGATTTGTTCCTTATCTTCTGTGCCTAGAGAACTTGTGAGGGCCTGACTGTAATAAGGTTAAAAAACTTAGAAATAGAATTAAAAATGAAAACTTGTTTATTTTTGTACGCTTCAATTTAAATTTTTATTTTTTAATTTTGTCATGTTATGTGCTTCCCAAAGTGTGGAATATGTAACACGTTTTCTGTTCGGTTTTAGGTTTTTTCCCTGTTTTTGCGGTGGGGTTTTTTGGGTTTGTTTGGGGTTTTTTTAATTTTAACTTTGGTAGGGGGAAGGTTCTGTTTTTACCCTAGAAATTTTAATCCAGAATTTCCCTTCTTCATTCAAAGTATCTCTGGAGGAGCAGAGAATTGAATGAAGTGTTTCCTTACTTCTCAGTTGAAGGAACGGGGATAGTTAAATATCTCTTCTCCCATTTATTCAGTTTTCATTTGGTATTTGTTATGTCATCCCGCTGGTTTTTCATTCCTTCACAAAGTCTTCCAGGAAAAATAAATGACCAGGATTGTCTTATGGAAAAGAACTCGGGTCCTGCTCATGTATTGGGAAGCACCAAAGAAGGGCAAAGCATTCTTGGTTTTGTTTTTCTCCACTCGCTCTTGTCAGGCACCTTTAACAACACTTAAATATTCTTAACTGGAGCTATTGTCCTGCATGCAGGGGTGCCCTTCTCCCACCCAGGGCTCTGGTAGTTGCAAATGCCCAAGAATTTCATGAATGCCTAGGTGGGGAGGCTGGTGCCCTTCCCCCACAACCTGCAGGCTTTGTTCTTAAGCTCTTAAAGTTAAAAAGTTTAAAAGTGTCCAGGACTGAAGTTCTGATGTGATAGTTTTACGGAGTGGCAGGGAAGGAGATGTGAGAAAACTGACCCAGTAGAGTCTGGTCCTTGCCCTTAATGAGGCAGAGCTGAGCTCAGAACCTTTCTGGCCCTCAATTTTGGGAAGTTTGAGTCTGATGCAAACCCCTGTTTCTTAGATTGCTAATATAAATTAGTAGCACATGTCTAATAGAGCGTGCTGATAAATATAACTTCAGTGCTGGATTTTCAGCATGATTTAATACCTTAAATACAAGTTGAATTTTTTAAGTGTTACATGCAGTATTGGTGAATTCCAGTTCCTTCAAGCATTTTTTTTAATTAAACATTAACCCAACCTGATTCAAATTAAAGGTATGCAGTTGCATTCAAACTCTGCACAGTGTTGTTGAAGCATTGCTTTTCCTGATAATTTTTTTCTGATTTGTGTGTTTTGTTTCCCCCCTGCCTCTCTTGCAGCTGCTGGACTCATGCACACTTTCAATGCACATGCAGCTACAGACATCACAGGATTTGGAATCCTGGGGCATGCACAAAACCTTGCCAAGCAGCAGCGAAATGAGGTGTCCTTTGTTATTCATAACCTTCCTGTTCTTGCTAAGATGGCTGCTGTCAGTAAGGCTTGTGGCAATATGTTTGGCCTCATGCACGGGACTTGTCCAGAGACTTCAGGTAGGTGACAGTTGTGCCACCCTCTTACTTCCCGACACCTCCATGTTAGAATTCAATAACATTTCAAATGTACAAATCATGTGCTTTGCATTCAAAATCACAGTTGGTTTGGTGTGTAGCCAAGTTAATGAGCATTAGCAACACAACTGTTAATTTTAACTTCTTCAGCCTAACTTCCAAATGACCATCCTGTTCTGAATGCCTTCTGCTTCCATATGAAACACTACTATAAAAGCCCTTGCTGTATCTAGAACATCTTGCAGTTAGAAGTTAGTGATGATTCTGAATTCTTTTAAAACCTATTTTTCTCTTAGCTGTTAACTCCAGTGAATACCTGAAAATCCCATCACAGCTGACACAGGTTTCTCAAAAGGTAAAGCCACCTGCAGTAGGTTTGCCAGTCAAATGAGTGGTGTTTTGTTTCTCATTGTGAGTATGTGTGAAAGTTGGCATTGAATGGGCGAGCCTCAACGAGTGAGGCCTTCTCTGTCCACAGCGTACAGAATACAAGAATATAGATTTTCTCCCTTAGGTATATGAAATCTGACTTTAAGAGACTGTGACTAGCAGCAAAAAAAAAAAAAAAAAAAAGTTTGGTCTGTGACCCATTCATTACTTGAGTTCTCTATTTAATAAAGCTGCCACTTGCAGTGACAGTGACTACAACAGACAAGTACTGAGGATCAGGCTATGGACACCAAGTTCGTATCAGATAAGTATTTAAACAGTCAACAGGTGATAAGAACTTCTGATGTTTGAAAGTTGCCTTATTATTAAGTGTAGGCCACTTTGCTGACTAGCATGATCCCTGTCTTCTGCTGGAAGTCTCTATACTTTATTTTCCCCTTGAGTCTTCCATCCTGTTCCATCTTGTTTTTCTTCTCTAATCTGACTTTTCTTTCTCTTTGGGAAATGGAGAAGATGTAGCAACAAATCTGTCTTTTCTCTTATCTCATTTCTCCACCCTCTTCCTGCTCTCCAAAAGTATTATCCAAGTTCTCTGCAGTTCACAACAGAGGGGGCCCCTTGAAGCAAAACAGTCTGAAGATCTGGAAAGAAGCATCACAGTGAGAGCCATAAACTTTTCCCCGAGTGAATACACAACTTAACCATGATCTGCTGAATTGTTCCTTAGCCATCTGTGTTTAAACAGACACTCTGTCCTACAGAGACTGTATGGCTCAGATGATGTGTAATAGGATATGGGACGTGAACCCTTTCAGGAGTTCAAATCCAGCGTCAGTCAGCAGAGACCAGAAATATCTGGTGGCAGTTTGGCAAGCTGTGTCAATAAGGTTGGTACCAGACAGATTCTTACTACCCAGGAGTCCGCATAAGCAGAGTGCTAGTAGCATCTGGTATCAGTTGCAAAGAGGCCAAAAAATAGCGTGGACACGGAGCTGGAACTGCAGGCTGCTCTTTCAAGGTGAGTGGCTGTGGCAGAGGTTTGTATAGCAGTTGGCGTGGGAATGGTTTAGCTGCAAACTGAGTGCTTGAGTCTTCAGAGCTGCCCGTCCTGCACCCTGGGGATATCCAGTTCTGTTTTCTCACTGAAGGAATGTAAAACGGTGCTGATGTACGCACTGCTGTGAGAGTACTTGGAAGCAGAAAACAGTCAACTTCAGAATCTCTTTTGGGACTGAGAGCAAGAAGTGTCTTTTGAAACGCTGAGCAGCTTATGTTTCAACGTACATGATGATGGAAAAACCAGCAAGACATATCTGGTTATTTGTGAACTTTGGGTGCCTCAAAACATGTATATTTGATTTCATCACAGTGCTGCATTTCTCGCATTAGAAGTGGCTATAGGGATTTGTTGCAGGACAGTGTCTGCCAAATATTAGAGATCCGTAGCCACGTGGACACAATATGGTCTGAAAGCTATATAACTGCAGTCCCACAGGCTTTAGGCTTGCACTAGATAGCCTGACACGTTGCAGCAGCGTGTATTAGCTTGGGCATGGTGTGCTGGGATGGCTTGTTAGCATTCAGACCCATGGTGTTTGCGTACTTCCTGTCCCGGGGTTGATGTATATGAAGGCAAGCATGTGGCTTGCTGCGCCTCTATATCCGCTTGTGAGGATGCCTTTTGGGGGGCTGCTCAGGGCTGTTCACGCTGTAATATAGATACGTTCTTTCTCTGTTCTCTTAAACTTCCAGAAATGCTCTGTGGCTTCTTCATTTGTGAACAGATGTTTTTCAGCAGAGTGAGCAGGCAATGAGAGATTTACTGGAAAACTATTCGAATAGGGTTTAAGACTGTTGGGTTTTTTCCAGTGCGCATTTGCTGGGCACCTGTTGACAAAAGTCAGCATTGGAAAGATCTGTTATTTCATCTGTTCCATCTTCCAGGCACTCTTGCTTATGGTGTATTTTCTTAAAATTGTACTTTTACATGATTTTGTGCTCTCTTTTAGGTAACTCTCTGGTAACGGTTAAAGTTGCAGTCAGGCAGTTAGTTTCAAAAACCTTAGTTCTGTTTGCAGAAATAAGTTACACAGTTACTCTGTGCGGGATATTCACGCATGTGTGTATTTTTGCCAGTCCTCTTCTAATAACTTTTGAAAGTTGACTGGTGTCAGCCAGTTTTATTTAGTGTAGTAGTTAGCTCAACATGGTGTTTCTGCAAATTTTGTGGAAATAGGCAGATGGGTAGAAAAGAAGGGCTGTGTTAGTACCTGACAAGAAGCATCTCATCCATTTGTTAGTCATTGTGGAAGAAAGCCATTAGCAGGAGCAAGGACACTTGTTTTCGATTCATGAACTGTTTGTATCTGCTCTTCATTGCAAGGCTTTTGCTTCTGAAGTTTTCTGTGTCCGCTTCCCTGCTTGCAGTACAATTGTTAAAACTAGCAATGTTCAAAACCTCTTACCAAAAAAAACCCTTACATTTTTAAAAAGGTAAGCCAGGACAGACACCAAGTATCTACATCCTTTCAAACCCCGAAAGAAGCGTGCAGCGAGCTCTCAAACCGCCACAGCCATTTCTTCATTCAGTCTGCAGTTCGTTTGCTTTGTCTTCAGTGGTGGCTGACGCAGACCTCAGAAACTTGGTACCCCATGACATGCTGCTTGCTTCGGTGCAGAGTGGCACTGCTGCTTCATTTGCCACAGGCACATCGCAGCAACTGAAACTCTTGGTGGCTGTGACCTTGTACAGGTGAAGACTTCTTGTAGTTGTCCATGGGTCAAAAACCAGAGCAGCTGGGAATGCCAGTAACATAGACTAGGCTAGAATACACGGTGGAAAACCTTAAGGACTTACCCAAAGAGATTGGTCAGTCTACCAGAGAAATTATTATAATCCCTGCAGACAGGAATCCTACTACTGATCAATAGTAGCCTGTAGCCTCTGTTAAAGGTTATTGATCAAACTGTGGGATGCCGCCAGCAGGTGGGAAGTGATTTTTATTGGAAACCGGGGTTTTGTACATTTTTCTGATCTTGCTGAAGAATGTTAACAGGGTACGTGTACAAGCGATACAAAATTGCAGAAAGAGAGTGTGTGGAGGAAAGATAATTGAGTGAAGACTATTTGTGTGCTGTTTCTTCCTTCCTTTTTTCACCGTGCTTCTACTCCCCTCTGGCTAGTTAGCACGCTCTCTGCGCTACCACTTGCAAACCTCTTCCCTGACTCGCTTGCACCATGACATAAGTTTCTCTTCAGGTTGATTTAGAGCCTGCCATGGGAATGGCACATAATTCCTTTGCAGTTGATTTGTCTGTTACATCTGGAGTAGCTTAAACACTGTCTTTCAAGTTTCTGGGGTTTGTTGTTGTTGTTTTTGATGGAAGTACCTTGATGTTATGTTCTGAAACGTCTGAGAGAGGTAGGTGTTTTTCTGGATGGCACACTCATTTGCTTCATCTAGAACCTAAAAAATAACTTTCACACTTCCATGTATCCTTGTAAATAATTCCTCTTGTTCAGTAGCTGCTTCTTCCTCACAGCCTTTAAATGAAAAGTGGTTTTAGTCACTGCCGAGAGGACTGTTTGCTTGGAAAAAGCAAACATAAAGGTGCCCCAGGTGCTAAGAAGCTGTCCAAGGGCTGCGGAGGAGGAGGTGGCACCGAGCCCAGGGTGGTGGGCTCAGCAGGTGGCCCTTCGCCCCCAGGCTTGACTTGTGCTGCTGGCTGATGCCCTTTGCCCGGATGAGAAGACCTCGGGTCAAATAACTCTTAAAGAGTAAGCAAGCCTCAGCACGTGTCCAAGTTCCTATTTGTGTGAATATACTCTCTTGCCTGTGTTCTCCAAACATTTTCCAATGGGAGATGATATTTTAACATCCCTTACAAGAGGCTGCTGTGTGTCAGGGTACAGCACAGTGCAGAGACATGAGCTGCACAAACAGCATGCAGCACAGTGAGGTTTAATTACCCATCTGCAGATGAGTTTGCTGCTCTGTGTTGCAGTGCTTCACACCTTTGCAATGTAGCATAAATGTAAACCAGGTAAGGGATATAGAAAAGCTGAATACTCCAGTAATAAAGGGTAGCACCAAAACATTTAATGGCTTGGTCAGAGCCCCCTGGAAATTTGTGCCAGAGCTGACAATGAAACTCTTTCTAGTAATTCTCTTGCCAAGCCACCTTTTTCAGTGCTTTGGGATTCTTATAATGGGAGTGTTCTTAGGTTTAATAACTGAATGACAAACTTGCTAACTAGTTACTGTGCTGCTTCTGAAAAGCATTAATTAGTAAATAAAGTATTTTTCAGTTGTCTCTGAGGAAAATAATCTTATGGGAAAGGCCAAAAAAGGTTAGAAAATTCCCTATCAAAGGGGTCAAAAGGACTGTCACAGGGAGCACTGAATCAAGCCTATGTTTACTTTTCTGCCTCTTGCATTCTCTGGTAACAGTCCCTGCTTTGATGAATTATTTCATTTCAGGCAATGGGATTACTTGCAGAATCAGCTGCTACCAATATGTGGTTATAGGTATCTTAATATGACCTTTATCCAAAATGCTGCTGTGTTAGAGGCACTTTGCAGTCCTCTGTTGGAAGTTTACAGTGCTGGTTTTGTCTCAGTATGTCATTTGTTGGCATCCGTATGACGTCCTTTTGCCAACGTCTTTTGTCTGTATTTGGCTTCATTTACATACCCACTAAACACTGAATTCGGGCACAAACTTCTTGCTGTAAAACAAGAGCTCAGACTTCCACCATGTCTTCTCTTGGAGTTCAACAGAATCCACTGAAGTCACCAAGTGCTTGTCTAAATAGGGATTTGGCAGATCAAGGCTGAAATGCTTTGCAATCAGATGTTTTAATGCTTTGCTTTTTTTTCTTTGCAGGAGGCCTCCTCATCTGTTTACCAAGAGAACAGGCAGCACGTTTCTGTGCCGAGATCAAGTCTCCAAAATACGGCGAAGGTCACCAAGCATGGATTATCGGCATTGTAGAGAAGGGCAACCGCACGGCCAGAATTATAGACAAACCACGAATCATTGAAGTCGCACCACAGGTGGCCACTCAGAATGTGAACCCGACGCCCGGTGCCACCTCTTAATATAGATGAAATAGCTGTTTGTTTTTAAATAGATCTATTCCTTTATCATCCTACAATTTAAAGAACTGTAAAAAGAAAAGAAAACTTGTTGTGTCTGCACATCTGGTGGCCTTAGGTCAGTTTGAGTGGATACAATTAATAAAATAAAATCCATTGCCTTTTTTTCCTGTTACATTAACTGAAGATGCACCTAATCTTGAGGCAGCTTCTGAGTTGAGAATTATATTGTTATCCAATACTGTTGATTCATTTTGAATCTTTAGACACTTATCTCTTGCCGCATAGGCTCTTTTTAAAGGTGCTTTCACGTAGCACAGACATTACCAGTAGTAGTGTCGAATAGCAGTTTGTGTCCTTTCATTATATGTATATTTATCATAAGTCTAATTTTGATGCCTTCAGTGATATTCCAGAAAGGCAATAAATTGATAAGCGACACAGTGGGAATACCCAGTAGTAAGAGGGTTGCATGATTACATTCAATCTTTTGGTTTTTGGTTTTTTTTTTAAATTTTTTTTTGTAAGGTTTAGTCTTACCAAGAGCATCTATGACCCTGGACATTGCTTGGTAGTGCACTCTGTTTAAACGAGCAAGTGCTGACTTTGCATGGAAGGCGCTTCAGAGTCGAAGGAGTCATTCTTAATTTCATAATTTGTAGACCTGACAATATTTACTGTATTATCAATGATTGTTTTCTTTATTGATAGTAAGGAAAAAATAATTCTTTTTTGCAATGTGATTGGATGTGCTATAGTGCAACAAAGGTTTTGCAGACCAAAAGGAGGTTACTGTATAATAGTCATTTACAATTCACTATATAAATAACTACACAAATAATTTTTAAATATAATCAAACTAAAATAAACCTCTGTTCTGTGGATGGTAGTGTTTAATACATTTTATATTTTGTATAGTGATTACAAGACTTTTTTGTTTCTTTAAAATCAGCAGCTGTTTAGTATAATTCCTAGTATTATTTTGTTCTTTGCTCAAATACATTTTTGTGCACGCTTTTGTGATCTGTGTTTAAAATCTACATTGCCAACATTGCAGCTTGAACTTAAGCTTGTTATGCAAAATAAATATTTAATTTTTTTTATTGCTCTTGTATAAGTGCATGAACGTTTTTGATTCCTAGCTGAATTGCAAACTGGAAAGAGAAGAAATCCTCCTTATTTTATTGCAAGTGTAATTATACTGATAGTTGTTACTACTCCTTTGATAATTCTGCAAGCTGTGATGTCCAATGCTAATCTAGAATATCTCCGCCTGCCTGCCAAAGTTGGGGCCAAGTAGGTTATCTCCAAGTATAATACCCACTTTATTTTGTTTATTTTACTTATCAGCACAAAGTATGCAACAGTTTTGAATTGTTTCCTCTGCAAGTCCTCCTGACTGTGCCTGCTGTATGCTAGAAGAGGGTTTGTGAGCAGCCCTGTAAGCGGAACGGATGCTGAAACCCATCTTTTCCCCGACGGCACGGTAAGCTGCCCTGCTGCAGCAGGCTCACTGCTAACTGCTCTGCCGGGACACACCGTGCGGTTCTTCTGCTGAACAGGACCGAGTGCGCTTCACTGAACCAGCTCTTTTTAAGCTTTTCCCAGATTGTGGAATTCATTCCTTGATATTCAGACCAGGAAGAAGAAAACCTTGGATAATCGTTACTGCTACCGGCATGAATTGCAAGGGCTTCTGTCTATGAAAAATGAGTCCCTAGAGGTGAACCGGTCTTGTGCATCATACAAGATTTAAATTTCCAGTCTTGGTCCTAGTGAAGACTCTGGCTCATCTTTTTTTCCACTCAGTAGTGTTCTCAACAGACACCTATTGCAAAGCTAGAATTCCCCACACCTTGTGAGTAGCCTAAACCACGCAGAACCTCATGCTCCTGTTCCTGGAGAAGTCATCTGCAAGTTGCTTGTTCACAAAACCTCAAAGCAGTAACTGAGTGTTTGACTCTGCTTTGGACAAAAAAAAAAAAATTGTTAGGTTTTTCACAGCTGTTCTGAAAATAAAGCATCAAAACCCAGTTGTCTGTGCAAAAAATACTGCTTTAATTCCTTCTCCACCCCCCCCCCCA